GGCTGTTAAGCCACATGGTCAGGTATAGTCACAGCAACAGCCTTACTCCTGACACCAAATTCTGTCTTGGTTACTTTTCTCTTGTTGCTGAGACAAAATACCTGATGCCCAAAGTGAAGGAAGGAAAGGATTGTTTAGCTTACAGTTTGTGGAAGTTTCAGTCCATACTCAGGTTCAAAGGCAGGGTGGCATGGCTAAAGGGAAACTCTTCATGGTGGCCGCAAGTGACAAAAGTGAAAAGGGAAAAAGAGGAAGGCATACCTCCTTCCCTATCTTATATTATATGCCACTACCCACCCCTGAGCAGGTGCTTCACTCACACTGCCAATCCCAGTGCTTGATGAGCCAATCATAAATGCTAGATTCACCTGCCCCTATGAATACATGAGGCTTTTGGGAGATATCCAAACACAAATCATAGCAAGATTTACTTCTCACTTACTGAGGAGGTTTTTCTGCTGGTTACCCAGTTGGGTTGACAGGACCCAGCTTCCACTAAAGAATCTGTTGGTATTCACCAGTGTTGCCCTGACCTCCTCAATTGTCCCCTCAGTTGTCCTTTCAGCTTTCTGTGGTTCCACGCAACCAGTGAATTGTCTCTGGAAAGGAATTCAGCTGCCTATTTGGTCAAGATTCTGTTGGCTTCAGTGGAGGAATTCACCTGAAGGTGCCTGAGAACCTGTGCCTGCTGCTGGAAGAGCATTTAACTAGCTGGCAGAGTGACCACTGTTTATTGGAGTTCTATATGGAACAGATAAAAGCCTGAGCTGTCATTATCCAAGATATCTTCACTGTCTTAAGCATTCACAAGCACTTATTTTCTGTGGACTCAATTAGTTGTTGGATAGGAGGGAAAGGTTGGGTCAGTTCAGAGTTCTTTTCTCTCTAATCTTACATGCCTCCCAAAAAACAGAAAGTACAAAATGATTGGAAAGATCAGAAATGAGATCAGAAAAAGGAAGTCTTTTCATACAATGAGTTATTGAGACAACTTGTTCATGAGTTGTCATTCTTAGCTTAGAAAGATGAGAGTGGGGAATTTCAAAAGCTAAGATTGCCTCCTCATCAGTGAAAGATCAGACCAAAAAGAAACTGAGGCAGAACAGGCTGGACATTCTGTCAAATGTATAGAGGGCTGATCAGGTCAGTCTAGTCTAAGGCTTAAGAATGATTGCCAGCCTATTGGCTGTTAGGGGTCCCATGACTTATTAATAGGTATATTTATTTTCTAAATATAAACTAGATTTCATAGAAAGACCCATTTTAGAGCACTTCATAACTTCACATTTTAGTTATCATCAAAGTCTACTAGGGGCCCTCTAACACTTTTTCCTAGTGCTGCTGTCAGGATATAACAAACCACAGTAGTCACACAGGTCAACAAGGAACACCAGTGAATACAGCCAAATGCAGCAAAACAGGAACACAAAACTTAACCATCAGTAAAATGATGGGGCATTTTGCTTTTATCCATATAATCTTCCCATGTCCTCAATTTAAATTTATCATCATTTTAACAAAAGACAGTACGTAAAAGAGGCAAGGCATAAAAATTTAATGCATATGGAATTGATAAACAAGGATGACAGTATTGGATTACTTAAGTGAGTCACAATCCAGAATCCATAAAAAACAAAAGGAAACTCTTACTTTTTCTAATTATCTTGCTGAGACCTCCAAATGATATAGGGGAAATATTATAAACATTTAACCTGACCAATGTCTGATATGCTGAGTTCATATTTCCCAAAATTTAAGAATGAATACTAATGAACAGTGGAGGTTAAGTGTAGAAAATATTTATTAGATGGAGAGAGACAGCTCCAGAAAGGCAGGAGAGGTCCCAAGTAGGTTGCCAAGGACTGTACTTTTCAGAGGAAGTTTTACAGAACACAATCATGTGGTTGCATTGTGAGTTAAGTCTGTGATCAACCAATAAGATTGTAAGTATAGTCACATAGGTAATACTGATCCAACGTTACCTATGTGTAACAAGTATATATAGAAAGAACAAATAACTTTTTAGGAAGGGATGAGTCTGGGGGTCTTGATCATCCACCGAAGTGACGAATGTCTACCTAGACTTCATTAGGCCAGGTGTTATCACTTATCTCAGACCTCATCATTTTGTCTGTACTTTGAGACCTGGCCCCTAATAGATGTACCTGCACACAGTTGTGATGAGTTTTTGTCTTGTATTGACTCTCGCATGGGCCCAGTCCATGTCTGGCTACCATGTCTGGTAACCCTGTGTGGCTACCTAATATTTCTACCTAACTAGCTGTCTATAATAAAAGCATGGAAAGAAAGAACTTACTCAAGGTCAAGCAGACGTACTGCAGTAGATAAATGGCTTACTGTGGTGGAATTTTGCAATGGAGAGAAAGTTGAATGTAGTATTGGTAAGTGGGAAATTATAGCCAAGGTGTAAGATGTAGGTGGGTCAGTGGGCAGAAAATCACCATAAGGAAACATTACAGATAGGGGTAAGTGGGGTATGGTTAAACTTTCCTAATAGGATTCTTGGTGAAGACAAACCTGGATGACCAGCCATTATCTGAGAAATGGCAGAAGATAAGGATCCCAATAAAATATTTTGCAAGATCAGATATTAAGGAGGAATGGTTCTTGCTAAACTGACTTAATGGAATTCTTACTGAAACCGAATTTTAAAAGAAAGTATCTATCTAGATGGGCCTAACAGAAGGTTCAGCAACCTGACTAAAGTTCTGTCAAGCAGAGAACCTTGGTATGTGTGGTCGAATATGGATAGCCTCGCTGTCCAGCTGTGCTGTGGGTTAAGAAAGGAGAAAGAGTGCATGGAGAGCAGTTTATGGCCTGATCCCTGCTGGGTTTAGGAAACTCTGCCTCTGGCCTAGTGTTCATTAAAAAAAGAGCACATATCATTTTGGCTTATTTTTCCCATTTACTAGAGGTCAACGACCAGACATCAAAATCTCTTAAGTCCTGTTTCCATCTGCTGAACTCTGTACCATTTTAGGGTGTCATGACTTTGGGGTGTGACATTTTATGAGTAAATTGCTTGGTGCCTTTCACTTAACTTTTTGAAGAAATGAAATTTCTGCAAGAATTTCTAGTCCAGAGGACACTTCATAAAATATAACTTACTCAGATAACCATCATAGCTAGTGTTCAGTGAAAAAATATATGGGGAAACTCATTTAAGTGAAACACTGGAAAAAATCCTAAACTCTGTAGTTTGTTGTTCTATAAAAAGAAAACCACTGGTAATTTTTCCACTATGCTAAAATAAACCAGTAACTGAGGAAACCTGAGAAAGGAAGCTTCCAAAACAGAACCCTCATTCTGTCATTCAGAGGGTTTGTGATTCTTGTCCTTCCCCAACACCTTTCCTCCCCCCTGTCATTCACTCCCTTTGCTTTCCTAGAGCCTACCATCTTCTGTTTTGCCAGACCAGGCTTGATCTTGGTTCACTTGGCTGAGCATGAGTCACCGTGGAGGTAAAGCTGAAAGAAGGCTACTCAGCAGTGCTTTACCTTTCTGAGATCACAAACCCTGTTTTGAGGTCACAGAATATCAAAGTGAGGCCTTGACCTCAGGAGAACGTACTGATATGTACCCTCATAAGGCAGTGTCTGGACCTCTTTATGCACTTTTCGAGACAGCAGCCACATGTTTGTGCTGTGAGAGCCCGCAGTGTCCCTGGCCTTCCTGCTTGCCAAGCTCCTTGTTTAGGTTCAAAAAAAAAGGGAGGTGACCTTGAGGACAGACCCAGGCCAGTGCTTGTGAGTAGCTTACTGTGTGTGCTTTGTGTTTTGGGGACTCCTCATTCACTCTATTCTTTAAATACTTGAATAGTCAGAGTTGCACTTCCAAAGTTTTTTAGGAAGCAGCATAAAGAAAGAGGAAGTAGGAAGGAAGAGACCTTTCTTGAAGCAAAGCTGATTTGGGTACAAATCATTTGTTACATATGGAGGAGCTGTGTGCATTTTGAAACATTCCTCAAGATGGACAGGTCTGTGAGGAGACTGTCCTTAGACTGTCCTTTCAGAACATTCTCCTTGTGAAGAGACCTCATTCACATGCAGGTTTGAAGAGATACTGCTGGAAAATCTTTTGGAAAAAAATGGGTTTAAAGGAGTAAAAGGAAAAATGAAAAAGGGTAGGGAAAATAAAAGATGTTTTAGGAAATGCATATTGCATTATATGGTTTGATTCAACTTCTTTCTTCAGTGTGTACTTTCAAAGTAGAAATCTGCATGGAGGAGAACATGACTGGCTTTTTGTTTCCACTTGGGATTGTTAATAGCTCCTCTTGCTTCTCTTTCATTATCTTTATGGAAACCAGCTGATCCTGTTTTATATGCATGTCTGGAATGCCAATTTATAGAGTAAGAAGTTGACAATCTTGTAACCCATCTGGTTCTAAGAGCCACACACATAGATGAGAAAATTCTTCATTGTATGTGGGTGAGCTCCAGTCTACCACCAGTGCTCCCTAAATTTGAAACTCTCTAAAAACCACTTAACTTCATGCAGCTTTAGCACTCTTAGGGATAAAACTGTGCGTGACATATTTTGTGGGCAGAGGACATTGTGCCCCTCAGATAACATTAAGTAGATAAATATCAGCTCTTATTTTCTTTAATATTAAGCCTGTGGCCTGTGTAACTACATAGTTGTCAGATTGACTAGGTTATTTAGGGAGAATAGTAATACTTATAGCTAACAGGGCTGGGTCCTCTTCTGCCCTCTATACTTGTCTGCAAAGTGATACTTTACTTTCTTGAAGCTGTTACTGTTCCCTAGAGTGAGAGAAGTTGACACTTAGTCAGGTGAAGAAACTCTCCTGGCTCCTCCTGGGTTGCAGGTAGCAGCCTTGGAAGTCAGTTCTCTGGGTCCGAGGCTACGCACTCAGCTTGGTGCTGAGCTTGAGAGCCTCAGCACATTTACAGGGAAGGAGGAATATTATGCACTAGGCTCTTGAACTTACCATTTTTTTTCTTTTCCTGTTGCAGGTCACTGACTGCAAGCAGTGATAGGAATTGCCTGCTTACCATGAGGCCATTTTTTAAAAGGGCCATTTTGGTCATAAGTTATGTAAGTATATGTGTCCTTGTGCAACGCCTAATAAGTAATCAGAGACCTGATACAGGTTATTTATTGGAATCAATCATAGATTCTAGCAACATGATCTTGAGATCTAAGGATTTATAGACCATAAATGTTGCAAAGCATCAGATGGTATATGTGAAAGCATCTCAAGTATCTGAAGCTGCAGACTCACACAATGTAAACTGCACACTATTTACCAAGTCCTTCTCAAGGTGCCAAGACTGAGTAGTCTCTAGCAGTGGCAACACAGTTGGGCTGTTAATTTTCTATTTATTGCATAACAGATGTCCCCAAATTTGGTGGTGTAAATAAAACATCCATGTATTTGTCCTCAGTGCTTTAGTTTGGGCAGCGTGAGTGGGTTGTTCTTCTGATCATCCCGATTTTCAGCTGGAGTTACTCAGCCAAGGTTTTCTCAACTACCTGCCATAAGAAGAACATCAGTACATGGTTCTTTTTGTGGTGTATTCTCCTCTTGGGCCTTTTCCATGGCCACTCTTTCTAGAAGGATAAGACTTCCATGCAACAGGATGCTGAGTTCTAAAAGAACAAAGAATGCAGGACTTCTCCAATGCTGGGTGTGTTCCACCACATTCTCTTGGTCAGTGTGTGTCACAAGACCAAGCTCCATTTGAGGGGAGTTGACTGTTTCTTGATAAGAGGAGTAGAATGCACATAGAGAGAGGAGACTGCTGGTGGCTGTCTTACCAAATGCTTTTTTTTTCTGTGAAGGTCATTGTCATTTTGTACTTCCGCCTGTGGATAATGGGAGGATCTATGCCCCTCTTTTCAGAGCAGGATAATCCAGCTTCATTTTCGCCTTATATTCTTACAAGGTCAGTAGAAATAATTATTTTTAAATTTTACTTGGTATTTGTTAGATAGTTTTAAGTACTATAGGTCCATGTCTAGGTAAAAAGGAAACTACTCTTCATGCATTTGGAATTCTTTTCAACCAGTGTAGCTATGTTGGCAGTATTACTGCTGCTGTTCTCATTGGTATATGTGTGTTTATTCAACAAGTATTTTATTGGACACTTGTTACCAGTAATATAACTGTTGAGTGGATTATATGGCAAATGTTGGAGAACAAGGCACAGATATACAGTAAACTGAGGTTGATTGGCCACCATAACATTTTGTAAGACTAAAATCAGTTAGAGACTAAGTAACGAGTGGATGAACACTGCTTTTGCTAGGCATGAACAATTGCATGTTATCCTTTGACCATAGGAGTTGCAGAGACATGGAGTCAGGAAACGATGCTGATCAGGGTCACTGGTCCATGGGGATCTTTCATTCTTTGACTGTGTTGTCTGCTGCCATGTTCTTCTGAGGTTTGCAGATGTAATCGTATTTGACAGTTTTCATCACTTTTTTCAGAATATGTTGCTGCTATGTTTTAAACATGAAGATATGTTGTTCTTATATTTTCATAGTTATATATATACATATGAATGTTCCCTGATACCATGTATTATATCCCTTTTTGTGTTTGAAAGAAATTATCACCTTACACTTTGATCTTAGTCCATTTATGTTTTAGCTTTTTGTGTCTCTTAAGAATTAACAGGTTTGGTTGTAATCAGGGCTGAAGGGGGAGGAGGAGGAAGTGGTGGTCAGGTTTTGGACTTCCAGGAGAACATGACAGACAAATAACAGCAGCCACGGAGGCTCTCTGAGATTACCAGTTTAGAATCCAGGAGCGGTGCCGTGTGAGGAGTCCTACGTGAAGGGAGATGTACCCTGCCGACCCAGGAATGAACTAAGCTGAGAAAAACCAACTGGAAATGCAATCCTGATGCTATAACAGGAACAGATAAAATCTCAGTATGGAAGCTGGATCCCGTGCCATTGGAGGCCGTGATTTGAATTTCCTGCTGCTGATTTGAATTTCCTGCTGCTGATACTGCGTCTAAATCCGCACGGCAGGGGGAGAGACGCGCGAAAGCTCTGAGAGCTGGAATGAGCGAACCAAACAGCGTTGAGAGCGGGACTGGCAGGGAGCCCTGCATCGACCTGTGGTAAGTGAGAGAAATGGGGACCCTTTCATAGACTAGGAGGCTCCAACAGAGGACATTCTGGGAACGAGCAGACTAGCCGGAACACAGCCCTACAGTGACTTTAGTCGCATATTCCCCTCTCAAGCGGGAGTGGTGGGGAGCGCTTGGCCTGGTGATGCCGCAGACTAAGATCCAGTAGGCTAGCCCAAATTAGGTCCCTGCCCCTGGCGGTACACCCTAGCAGTGAAGCATTCAGTAGGTTGATCTGGAGGGGTGGGCCCAGCAGAGGCTGCCCAGGTCTGTGTCTCCCTAGTATACTGCAGTGGGCGGGAACACCTAGCCTGTGGATTCAAATAAACTGTAACAGACAAAGAGGAAAAAAAAAAAAACTGGGCCTCCTACATATGCTTGTATGGAAGGAACAAAAAGTATGGGGAAAGGGAGCAACAAGAAAGGGTCCTCAGTCCCCAATCCTGGGAACACTGATCCAGGAAAGGTAAATGCAAAAGAAAATGAACACAGAAAACATGCAATATCAGACATGGCACCTATAGACATAAAGCGGTATCTCCGGAGCCTCACAGATTCGTTCAAAAATGAAGTATTTAATGAAATAAAGCAAGAAATAAGTAGAATAGTTAGAGAAATGCTAAGCACCACCCAAGAAAAAACAGATAGTGGAATGAAAGAACAGAAAAAAAGGGGAGAATTGTTTGATGGAGAAAATAGAGAAAACATAGAATACGTGAAGCAGGTTCAAAGAGATTACCAGGAAACTAAAAACTCTATTGAAAGCTGGCATAACAGCTTGAAAGAAACTAAGGATAGACTATCAGAACTGGAGGACAGATTTGTAAGGTGGGAGCATGAAAGGAAAAACTTCTTAAAAATAACAAGAAAACAAACAGCAATAATATAAAGACTAGAAGATGATAAGAGGATCTATAACTTAAGAATTAAGAACATAAAAGAAGAAGTAGGGACTCAAACAAATGAACTACAAAAGCTATTCACAGAAATAATCCAAGAGAATTTCCCTAATTTAGCAAAAGGTAAAGATATTCAGATGTATGAGGCATACAGGACCCCAGCCACCTACAACCCAAATAGAGCTACACCCAGGCATATAATAATCAAAATTCCAGAAATCCAATATAAGAACAGAATATGAAAAGCCGTCAAAGACAAGAAACAGATCACTTAAAAGGGAACACCCATCAGAATTACAGCAGACTTCTCGGCACAAACCATCAACTCACGAAGAGTGTGGGGGGAAATAATTCAAGCTTTGAAAGATAATAGCCTCCAGCCAAGATTGATATATCGTGCACAACTGTCCCTAGAAATTGATGGAAAAACAAGGTGCTTCCAGGATAAAGAGGAACTAGAGGAATTTGCAGCCACCAATTCAACTCTATAGAGATTACTGCAGGATATTCTAAAAATAAAAAATACCAAGGTTCCAGAAACAGTGGCAGAGAGGCCACAATGAATGGAGCAGAAAGCGAAATGAAGAGGACAAACTGACAACTAATGACAGAAAAAGAGCTCAACAGAAATGAGGCAGAGAAGGTTGGATGGTAGGAACAGCCATTTTGGAGAAAACAAGACATCATACTAGGTAGTGCTGATTTAACATCCTCTTGTTTTGAAGTCCCATCAAGCTTTTGTTCTTCTGTCTCCATCGGTTTTAACGTGTTGTATCTTATTGGATTTTATTATATGTGATAATATAAACAAAAACTTTTATAGACAAGGAGATTATACAGAAACCATTGTTCATTTTCTGTTAGTTGATTCTAAATACCCTGTAATACTGTCATTCTCTTGAATGGTTTTACATTGTCTTGATATGTTTGATGCTACAGTATACGAAGTTATACCCAAAGATTTTAAGGGAAGAGACACTATGGTAACTACTATTATGTCGAGATTATCTTGTGGTGAAACACTATTTTGCTTAAATGGCTATGTTTTGACCTGCGCTGTTTTGTTGTTATGCCCTCTTTTTTATCTCAATCTCCTTTTTATTATCTATTTTTTCATTTTTATCCTTTTAATTAACGGAAAAATAAATAAAAAATAGAAGGATATATTATAGTAACCCACTTTGATTTCCTATTAACTTGATTTGAAACTCTATATTGCTCTCACCATCTTGTTTTGACTGATTTTCCTCTATTCTGTTTTGCTTGATAGTACCAAGTTTGAAAGTATAGACAACAACTATGAAGACAATAAGATTCCTTATGACACCCATTCTGGTTGACTATTATCTTCTTTTGAAGTCCTCTAGTGTCTCCAGTGTTTTGATTTTATTGGTCTTATTCTTTACTGTTTTGTTCAATTTTATTATAACTGATGATTTAGGCAATTCTTTTTAAGATAGCAAGAGGCATTATGGTAACCATAGTTGATCACCTTGTATTTTGTTTTTACATTATGTATTATGTCCATCCTTTTGATTTGACTGACTCTGTCCTGGTATGTCACATTTGGTTTTACTTTCTTCAAAAAAGAAGTAATAAGAACAGTGGGAGTAATAAAACCCAAAATGTGTAATTGTCATTGTACAAAAGAAAGGAAAAGAAAGTTCTCTAAAAGATATAACTGCATATATATTTAAGTGTATAAGATAGATAACCATATTACTGAGTTTTGTTGGATCATTGAACAAAACTGTTTGCAGTCTCACTGTTTGAAAGTCCCCTCTATATGCTTTAATTTTGTAACTTCAACAACTATTTCTAAGATGACAATATGTAATTAACTAGTGATTTCCTACTGTTTATTTTTTCTGAAAGTCTGTATAACCTGTACCCTTTTCTGTTTTTTTTTTCTTTTTTCTCCTTAAATAAAATAAAAAAAAAAAAAAGAATTAACAGGTTTTAACCGGGCGTGGTAGGTCACGCCTGTAATCCCAGCACTCGGGAGGCTGAGGCACGAGGATCATTGTAAGTTCAAGACCAGCCTAGGCTACAAAAGTGAGTTCAAGGCCAGCCTGAACTGCATAGAGATCCTGTCTCAAAAAGACCAAAAAAAGAATTAACAGGTTTTTATCTTTTGCTTATGTGCCAGGTAACAATCTTTGCTTTATAGCACTCATTTACCTCTCGTGCTGACTTATCTCTATCTCTAAGGCAGTTTAAAATCTTTACACATATTTTTAATATCTTATATTTTTCTTTTCTTTTTTTTTTTTTTTGTCTTTTTCCTTTTTATCAGTACCGGCGATCGAACTCATGACTGCCTGCTTTCAAGGCAGGCGCTTGTGCCGCTGAGCTAAACCCCCAGCCCCAATATCTTGTATTTTTCAAAGTGAATATCAGTTCAGCTTGTTGCTGTGATGCAGTTCCCTTGTGCTCACTGACTTTCAAAATCTCCAGGGCTGATTGTCTGTATATTTTTAGCTGTGATAGCTCATTGATAAATTGGTTTAGGTTGTCTAGCTCCTTAAATAGCTACTTTTTGCCTTTAAGTGAAAATGAGCTTTGCCAGATCGTATTTTTGCATGGTGGCCCCATTTCTTTTAGCTTTGGGTTGGTTTCCTTCCAAGCTTTCTAGTGTACTGAATTAGAGCATTTCATTCTTACCTTTGCAATTAGATGGAGCCTGCTCCCTGGGCGTAGCAGTGTCTGACAACCAAGATGCACACGTGAAAGAGACAGAGTAGGACAGGAGCACACCATCACAGCTGGTGTCACCACTAACCCAGTGCCTGACCTAGGTCCAGAGGGCCTTTGGGCTCTAACGGAGTTTCAACTCAGATGTTTGGAGGGTAAAATTGCACTTTTCTGCTGGTGATGCAAGAAAGAATTTTGGTGAACCCCTAG